TCCTAGTGAGCATTAGAGGTATATATCCCTGGCCTAGTTTTGTACCAACCAAACCCACATAAATCCTTTCGCGTCTAATTTAATGAGACGAAGAAAGACGATACCGAGCCCGGTCGGCGTCGGTGGCGACGGTGAAGTTAACGACAGATTCAGAACGTTGGGTGACAAAAAAGGGTAGAAAGGGTAACCCCAACGACCAAACGATATATTCATAATTAGAAGGTGTATATCTACATAGAGTAATACAGTAGTACTATAATAGTATAGTAATATATGAAATAAATCGGGTCAAGTCCGTATCTTTCGTCGCGGTAAAACGATGCGTCCGATCGTAACGACCGTCGTAATATAATATTTTAATCAAGGCTTCTCTCCCTCAGCCGCCACATTCGGAACACGATCGATTGATCGATTTTTTATTGCATTTTGAAACATATTTCACACACGCACACATACGCCTGCACGTGCACACACAGTTTCAATCAAAAGAATCTTTATTCTTCCTTTTTTCTCTTTTGTTTTTTCGTTATCTTCTAAATTTCGTTCAGAAATCGGTTGAGATCTTGTTTATTTGTCAATCGTTGATAAAAAGTAAATAGAAGAGAAAGATAGTAGGAGGGAAAAAATAGAGAATATTCGAAATTGAAGGAAGTTCGCGAAACGCGAACGCTTGTTCGTAACGTATTTTGTAATTTGAAAGGGAAACCACATTCTTTCACCGCGTATTATGATACGTGAAAGTTAGCAACGCAGCGCCTACGGTGTGATGCAGTAGGTACATTGAAGAGAGACGGAGAATGGCTGGCACATAAGACTGAGTAAAAGCTAAAGAAAGACATAGAGATAGATAGACAGAGAGAGAGAGAGAGAGAGAGAGAGGTGATCGTTACTGAGAGACATGGACTATATCGAAGGTCGACCTGTTGCCTTTTTATTTCGTTGATTTTTGCGGGAATAGAGCAACTGTCCTCTCTCTCTCTCTCTCTCTCTCTCTCTCTCTTTCTTATTCTTTTACAGACCAGTTAACGACAACATATGGTACAGATGCAAACCCACGTAGAAACCCATGTATGCTTATATGTTCGTTAAGATTTTCGTCAGCACGAAATAGCTCGGTCACCTGGAACGGATGGTTCATCCTATAAATGCTTCGGTTCCTACCGTGTTCTTCGTTTTATTTAAAAGATTCCTGTTAGTGGGTAGACGATTCGAAAGGGATTCACCGATCTGGAACCATCGCGCAACCGATTTCGCGAATCTCTTGGATGGATCTTTTTCAAACAAAGAAAGAAAAAAAGAAAGAGGAAGAGAGTGAGGGAGAAGAAATCGTATGAACAAACCTGATATCTTTGATGCAGACAAAGAAAAGAGAAAGGAATCAAAGAAATAGTACAAATAATTCTAATAATAATGATAATAATAATAATAATACGTATTAATCAATTAATTCATATGAGATATCGCATTTGTTCTGTTATAAACATTCTTGATCGATCTTTGATTTAGAAGTTTTTTGTTTTCTACTTCTTCTTCTTCTTCTTCTTCTTCATTTTCTTTTTCCACGTGTCAATGTCACGCAAGTGTTTAACTCGCGTTTGAAAAAAGAATCAATTGTATGAGTCTACGAGTGCAACGACGTGTATTAATTGATTTATAATACGCATACGCTTTCAAGTTATCCCTTCTCTCAATTATATCTACATTCTTTTTCATTTTCTTTTCTTTTCTTTTCTTTTCATTTCATTTCGTATCATTTCGACAGATGTTCGACGCGAACAAGTGTTCTCTTTAGTCGACACAAAGAACTTTCTTGAAATTTGATTTTGTATTTTTATATTATTCCAAGCGTAAGATTAACAAATTAAATGGTAATTTACAATTGGTGTTAAATATCTGTTTATAGATTTTTCTTTTCTTTTATCTTCGTGTGTTACGTCTTAATTTATTACGCAATACAATTCATTACAAAATACGTGTCATCGTGATATTTTACGAATTTAAATAAAAATCTTTTGTTTGTGTGATTTTTTGTTGTTGTATTATTTTATTTTTTAAATATCCATTATACTCTACCTTCACCATCAATGTCTGCGTAGGATACATAACTTTTTTTTTCCCGTTCTTTTCATTCTTCTTTTCTCGAGTTAGTCGAGAACGTAATAGCGCGTGGATATTACGAAGGCAGGGGATTAGAAAGAGAAAGAAAGAGAGAGAGGGAGAGAGAGAGAGAGAGAGAGAGCTAACCACGAACGGCAGACTCTCAATAGGAATTTATATAACTTTGGAACAAACGACTTCTTTGTCTCCTCTTAAATTGTAGCCCATGATTATCGCGATTAGCGATTGGCAATTAAGAGCTTAGGTATTTTCCGGTAAACGTCGTTGACTCGTTACCATCGTTAGAACAAACCACGAGGATTTCCTTCTTAGACGAAGAGCTTATGTTAGAGTTAACAAGAAGGTTCAAGAATACCTGTAGAGAAACAAACACATAGATATTTGTATGTATATGTGAACATATATGTATATATGTATATAAAGAGAGGAAAGACTTGGACTCGTCTAAGGTCCTAAGAAAAACGTTTTGTGGTATCTTGATTAGTTCGAGTTTTACTTCGAGAAAGTTTACTCTATTTTACAAGATTGCGAAAACTACTTGAAAATCATAGTTAGGACAATTTTTTGTACAATACACGTTCTAATAGTTAAAAATAAATATAATCGAAGAAAAAGGAATAAGGAAATAAATTGTAATTAAGATATCTATCAGATCAATCATATTATAATAATCGTCATCCACAAGAGTAGGGTAGATTTACATTGATCGCATTCTACTGTTGTTCATTTGCATATTATAATATGACTACGTATTTTATAATGACACATGAAACTTTGATAAAGCTCTCTTTTTTTATTTCATTTAAAAACTTCTCTACAAAGTGTCCAAATAAAATGAATATTAAATAGATTTCAAGGTAAATATATAAGCCACTGTTTTCAATCTTGACCATGTTGGCATCATCTAATACTTGCCAGCGTTACTGGCACGAGCTACCTATATACTTATATACATAGGTACATACCGAAGTGTAGATAAAAGTAGATTATAGATAGACGGGTAGATTTATATATATATATATATGTATAAATATGTACAGTAGCATTTGAACGTGGCCCTGCCAGGCGACACGTAGAGACACGCACAGAAGGCATGAGCGACAATTTCGTCGAGCCGGAGAACGTACGCAACTTACGCTCACATTTCTATGTACTTTGTATATATATATATAAATATGTAGATAAAAAAACGTTAAAGTTCCTTGCAGCCCCTTCGTGCTCATTCCATGTTGAATAAACTGGATTTAGAAACGATATGATAATTACTATCCGACGTTACATTTTCCCTGATCAATCGAAACACAATCTCTTTTTCTTTAAAACATAATGTTATTTTTACTCATATATTTTCATTCAACATTTATGAGTAAAAATAAGTATCGAATATAACATTTCTATTTAAAAATATTGTTAAACGTTAGAAATATAATGTTTTAATTATATATATATATCTATCTTTTTTCTTTTCTTTCTTTATTTTTTTTCAAGTTATATGTCAGAAAACAGAAATTTATTTATCTATCTCGCTCTATTTCCCTTTCTACGCGATTTTATCCTCGTTACTTTCACAAGGTAGATACACAATCTCTCTTTCTATCTATATATGCCATTCTTCTTGTTTTCAATGTATACAGTGAGAGAGAGAGAGAGAGAGAAATATACAATAATGATGATAATAATCGCGCGTGTGTCGACAAGTCTTACGATAAATCAATCGAAAATTGATAATGCAACACCTGTACATATTCGTCGATTATAGCTCGATTTACGTAAATATTATTTGTCTCTTTCTATTTTTTTCTTTCACCTTTTTCATTTTCTCCCCATTTTATACTGCTCCTCGGTCGACAATTATTTTGTTCACTTTGTGATCTAAAATAAGACTATAATTTTCTATTCTTTCTATTATTTTATTTTATTTTATTGTTTCGTGTAAGATTTTTTTATTATTTCACATGTTTATCATTTGACTATCTTTATAAAATACCATGGCGAGGAAATAGAAACCACATTTTGCGAAACCACGAACCAGGATATAATGGCTACCTAAAGGAAAATAATAAAATAAAAATAAAAGAAAAAGGAAGATAGTAAAAGTATTCATATATATATATATATACACATATATGCATATATAGAATTTTTATGACTATAATGTCGTAAMCTTGCGGAGTCGAGGAGATTTGACAGCAGAAACGTGTTAACCTTCAATCGACCTTGAGCAAAAACAATCACGTTCACTCGAGATAAATAGACTAACAAACAGAGTCTAAAATTAATCCACTTCATTCTTATATCATTCAATTTAATAAATGTCATATATACATACGTACATGTATATATATATATATATATGCATACACATATATTTACTTATTATTTAAATTTACTCGTGAAAAAAAAAGAAAAAAAATCAACGATTAGATTAATTAGAAAATAATCCGTAAGAAAGATTATTGCATATACTTATCGCACCAATAAAAAATATATATATTTCATTAGAGAAGGATTTAAATTGACAAACGATGTATTTAAAAAAACCAAATAAAAAATCAATGCCGAAAGAAAAAGAAAAAAGCAGAAGTGGTAGATGAAAGAGAACGTTTAGATTACATATGTGTCGACAAGAAACGTGATAAATAATTACCGATAAACGGTCGGTAAAAATAAAAAAATAAAAAAATAAAAAGAAATCGGATAAATGCACTGTTTTGAATTTCGTTCGTTCTTTCGCGTTATCTTTGTTCCTGGGAGTTCGGTCGTTTCGGGTCTGGTGGCGTAGACTGTTAGTCAGTGGGGTAAGGCAAGGCAAGGCAAGGCAAGGGGAGGGAAGAGAAGGGAGGGCAGGGCAAGGCAGGGCAAGGCAAGGGCGATGCTCGACTCGGGTGGGGCGACGGATGCGCGTCGAATGGACCGACTCGAGAATCTCAGTTCCAAACTTCCTGTCGTTCACGTTCCGCATTTAATTCTTACTTTTTCCGCAATCTTTACGCATTATCATTGAAACCATTATTATTCGTATTATTTCAATATTATTACGTTAAACGGTGATATTATTTCGTTTAAATTATCATCACGATAATTATTATTAAAACGGGGAGGTTAATCTAACCTTATTTGGTATTCTTATTTTGTGTGTGTGTGTGTCTCTTTTCAAAAACGTTTACACGCATCCCATTTAAAGAGAGAGAGAGACTTGTTATTTGTTTTTATTATTTATAAATTCGAAATTGTGTGTAGGAAGAGATTGATAGAAAGATATATAAATTGATTAAATAGATATACTTCAAATAAACTGGTTAAGTGAGTGTGAGAAAGAACGAGAAAAAGGAAGGAAGGAAGAACTGGCATTAAATCGACAAATTCTTTTGTTCTCTCGCTCCAATTTTGGTGTCGGGGAAGTATATAACACGTGAACCAATCGTTGAACGGTATCATAGTGAATCTCGTTAGGGAGTGCAGAGAAGACACACGCTGCGGCGAATTAGTCGAGAGATCGATTACGTACATAACCTCGAACTTTTCGCGTGTACGCCCTTATTTGCGTATTATCTTAATCCTTATCTTATATATTTTATCGTTTTATTTATTTCGGTTATATTAAAGTCGGTGTATAGACAACAATCATATCAATTAGTGTTAGTGTTATATTATTGGTAAAAAGAAAAAGAAAAAGAAAACGAAAAAACAAATATGACAAAAATAAACTTGACAAACGAGAAACCATCGTTGTCATCGGGTTCGTGTAAAAATCTCAACGATCAGCAAAAAAAGAAGAAAGAGGAAGGAGAGAAAGAATCTTTTACAATACAGGTTAGGAAAGAAGAAAATAAAGGGATGTCCGAGATGGTTAGTAAAAGTATCCGAAATCAAGAAAATAAACAACAAGAGGAGGACGAGAATGAGGAATCGGTGAAAAAGAAAGCGGAAGAAACGATGGTCAAAATTACTCGATGCATCGAATGCGTTCAGATTGTGCCACTGATGCAGGTGAGTCTCAACTTACGTAACACTCTTTAGTGTCTACTGTATATAGAATTTGATGGCGCCGTAGTACAAGCAAAGAGAGAAAGAGGAGAGGCCGGTCGATCAGCTTTTTTCGAGTATGACCTTCGAGAAGGAAATTTGAGCTTAATTGTCGTTAATAATTAGTCAATTTTAATTATAGAAATTATCTATTTCTTTTTTATATATTCAATACTTTTTTTTTAGCAAGAGATATAGAAGGAAGCAGAGTAAAAAAGATCACGTGATCATACAACGCGTTTCAAAATCATCTTGTCAATTCTACTTTTAACAAATTCGTATTTTTTTTGTTTTTTTTTTTTTTTTTTTTCAATATTATATCGAATAAATAAAAGTAAAAGATTGGGTCTTAAAATCTCACGTGGATCATCCTCGATTCGTTCATTTTTTCTTGCGACATTGAAATGTCTCTATCATATGCAGTTTATATAAAAATTTGATTTGTTCATTTGTTTGTTTTATTTTTATGATTTCTTTTTTTTTTCTATATAAATAAAAATAGTTTGAATGAAAGATATGAGTTCTAGGAACTTATAGAAGTAATATCTTCGATCGATCGATAGATCGATATACAGCTGTTCGACTTTCGAAAAATTATCGCGATCGTTAAAAATGTCTCGGGGTATACTTTTACGGCAGCTGCCACGCCTATTTAGTTCGTAGGAACCGATCAAAATCGCTTTTGTACAGTAAAAGAATGAAATAGAAAGAGAAAGAAAAAAATATATATATATATATATGTAATATGCTATTGAATTTCGGATGAAAGTCTTTATTACTGAACTTCCACACGTGCTCTACTTTTATTTTAATTTATTTTATTTTATTTTATTTTATTATTTTATATTTTTACATTATACGAGAATGAAGTGAAAAGTTTTAAGATTATATCGAAAAATAAAAGTGAGTTTGACAGAAAAATAAAACAAATTGTTTCTGCTAGATTACAAATTTTCCAACCCACCCATATAATCCGTAACTTTAATTAAAGCAATATTTATTATTTATTAAAAAAAAAAAAAACAACATCGAAATATCTTAACGTAATTTTGTATATCCCATATACGCAATAAACACGTAAATGCATTGACTATCACGTAGACTCGTACATTGACGAATGACTTTATAGATACGTTGGAATAATAATCTCTTCGAATCGTTTTAATCAAAAAAATCTACTACAAATTACTAGTTAAAAGTATCAAAGGCTTGTAGTTTTACAATCTAGGGTAAAAAAAAAAGAAAGAAATTGGAATTAGTTAAAAAGTTTCGAGACGGAGTAACTGATTAGTTAAAAAATCACGTAGGAAACTTTTGGTCCAAACTGTAGAAAGTAAGAAAGAAAGAAAGAAGAAGAAGAAAAAAAAAAAGAAATATTTTCTAATAGCTTACATAGACACATAGACACAAGTCGGCTAAGCGAGTTGGCACGTATAGTAGATGTTAGAACAAGCCGGGCGTAACAGCGAAAAGGTTAATGCAAATGGTAATCGAGCTGGTTTTCTGCTCGCTTTAAAATTCGTGAACAAGAAAGGAGCTGGTACGATATGTATGCCACGTATGTAATCAAATTTATCTAATTGTATATTTAGTTCATTTTCGAGGATTAGATTTATACAATTTCAAATTAAATAATAATAATAATAATAATAATTACAGAAGCTGAAATGAAGATGATGATAATTGTAAATAATAGTTAGGACACTAATTCATTATTTTCTTTATTAAGAACACTTTTTTAGTATTTAACATCTAAAACAAAGTAATATTGTTCATATTAAAAAGTTTGAAATTACTCTTATCATCTAATAATATATAATAGATTAAATACAAATTAATAATGACATATTTGTTATAGAAATTTTTAGAAAAAAGGTTTAACTGTCTTTCAATGTCTATAATCATTCGCGACAAAGAATACATAAATTATGTAGCCCTCATACTGGAGTTTATTCATTTTGTTTGTTACATGATGCAAGATTTCTCTTTCTCTCTTTTTTCACATTTACATACAGCATCAATCGAATTAACACATGCCCTTTGCATGCTATGACAAAACGTTGATCTGAAATTTATTATCTCTGTATAATTGTTATATCTTGCAGAGGAATAATTCTAATCGTTTCGAAGATAGAAAATTAAATAAGGAATTCTGTAAACAATCATTGATTGTCTATCGATAAATTTTTCTTAACGTCGAAGTATAAGAAAGCAAGTTTTTTTTATAAGGAAATACATAGACTCGTTTAAAAGATCTATCATTTGTTGATTTTCTAAGAAGACGTTAAGGAAAAGATATTTTTTTAACACAGTGAGAATGCTTTTTCGACTAACATAAGTTTTAAGACGAAAATATTAAAAAAACATAATTTGATCATACAGAGGAAAAAATTAGACTCACTGCAAAGATAGAAAATGAAATAGAAATTTTTGGTAAATACTCGTTGATTCGTCGACTGTATATACAATGATCAAACGTATTTTTGAAACAGTCACCTACCTTTTCTAAACGATTGAAATGTTCGAATTATATTTATTTCTATCTCTATACGTATGTTTACTTTTTTCATCGAGAGACACCTGTAAACATTCGAGGTAGTTATAGTTCGGTCGTCCTATGGTGAACAAGTCAAATTCGACGCGTGCTTCGTAAGAATATTAATATTTTTAATATTTCAATGATTTTTCATTAATTATTAATATTTAAACAAATTTTATTATAACAATCGTGAACTTTCGTTGTTTCCTAGTCAGTTTTTGTTAATTTCGATGTATAAAAAAAAGACAAAACTTCGATAGGTGTTACTCGTGAGTACAATTTAACGAATATTCATTTAAATTACGGTTTTTAGATGCGGTAATCTCTATGTGGTTAAACACGGGAACAGGTATATTACTTTCCATGTATTTTATATGCTATACATTCCATTGCAAGTGAAATCCAACCAAAGACCGCTTACCATAAATATTATAATTATAATTAGTTTCTTTTATCTTCCTAATTAATATAATATTTTCATATTTCATTTCATATTTCATTTCATTTCTTTTATTATTGTTTTCTAATAATTTGAATAATCGTTTTTCACATAAATCAAAAATCTTGAATGAACACTCGAGAACTCCTAATTACTCTTCCTTTCATCTTTTCCATTAAAAAATAACAAATACGAGTTCATAATTACAAAATACTCTGTTTTCTTTTTCAGGGTTTGTGAAATATTTTTACAATATTATTAACTATAATAATCATAAATAATATATTCGATTTACTTTTTGGTAAATCTCATCACAAACATTCTTCCAGCCTTTTTTTTGTGCAGCCTCGCGCCATGATGTTATGGCGTTTTTAAACTTACTTACACATTCCTTTTTTGACGATAACATTAATTGACTTTTTGATTATCTATCCTTCTTCGGCTCCCGAAGTGTTTGCAAAAGAAAAACTTGCTCGTAGATTAAGAAAAATTGAACGGTGCTCAGACTTTTAGCTCGTTAGTTTCTCACATCAGAGAAAGTCACTGCGAGATATAAAATTCATTTTACTGAACGTCCCTCATTTTTCTTTCTTTTTAAACATTCCATCGTGCATCTCGAAGCAGCAATAGTAATATAAGTACACATATACAGACACATTAAGATAAGTAAGTATTTCTTAGGTACGATCGATGGAATCCTCGTATAAATTGCTTGCTTCCGTATCGCCAAAGGCTTCTTCTTCTTCTTCTACTCTTCTACTTCGACTTTTTATTTTTCTTTATCTTCTTCTTTTTCTTCTTCTTCTTCTTACGTATTTCTGCATCTCCGTTTCTAATCGGCGAAAGTTTTTCCAATTTACTTGTGACCTAATATGTACCTATCTCTCTCTCCATATATATACAAATATACATACACATTCTGATCACTGTGTGCATAGTGATGCATTAGAGATGATAGATCTTTCCTTTAACGGAAAACTTTAGTTTAGAACGCGACTTTAACACACGACCTTTTTCTATCTATGAATCGTGGAATTAGAAATGAGTGAAACTTTATGAGAACTACATAGTAATTAATTAATCCGGATACGGAATTCATCGTTATATTATAATGAATTGTTTTAGATAGAGGTTGAAGAGAACTTTTCTAAGATTCGTTAGCTTATTAACATTACTTATGAGATATAAATCAATTTTACTGTTATTTAGTTACCTTAATTATGAATTATTAAAGCTTATTAGTAGATATGCAGTACATAAATATAAAGATTTGTGTAGGATTTATTTTATTATAATTATTTCAAGAACAAATTATAATTTTATTTTAATTTAATTATATTTTAAATAATGAAATTTTAGTTAAAAAAAACGTACGAATAATTGTATAAGATTTATTATTATGTTTAAATCAATGATTTATATTACCAAGGACAAATACATTTTTATCGTACTTGAGAATTAATGATCGATAAGTGTTATCAATTAGAGTAGAAATAATCTATATTTCAGATAAAGTAAAAAGGGCGTCGTCAAGGACATAGAAGACGTAGAATATAATCCTAGCGTAGAGAATAGAATGCTTCTCCTGCCACCTTCGCAGTAGCTGCAGCAGACTTGAGGGCAACGACCCATCGATCCTTCGGGAGAACCTATACGAGACTAGGCCAACCGGAATACTGCACTATGACCACTACGATAGACATAATACGATCTATATATTTACATTATTCATATATATGCATGCACGTATATTACATAGATATAGAATAATTAATAGAGTATTATTTTCCATCAATAAGTTTCGTTAAATATTTGCCTCTTAATACGTCACAGATATCACGTCATTTTAATCAATATCTGTATTCAAAATAATACATTTTTTTTATCGTCGTTAACGTCTACTACGTACACTGTCATGCAAAATTTCAATTGTAAATTATAAAAAAAAGAAAGCAGAATATTTTAAACAATATATGCCTTTAATCT